ACCGGAGGCTTGCCCGGGTTCCCCCGGCCGGCCGGCGAGTGTGTGAGCGGCGGCGGCGAGCTGCTGCCAGGCCTGGAGCCGTGGCGCGCGCGGTCGAATGGGTTCCGAGTGCGCGGACGCTGCGCCCCGGAGAAGCGGCGCGCGAGTGGCCGCCGCCCGGCAGAGCCAGTGGCGGGAAGGGCCGAGGCTCTCGGGGCTTCTGTTCCGTCACCGCAAACGCCTCCCCCTCCCTCGGGGACCAGCCTGGCAGACGAGATGCCCCGCACCTGCCCCCAGCCCTCCTCTCCTCCCCAGCCCCGGGAGAAGGGGCAAGGAGGGGAGGGCCCCGAGAAAGCCAGGTAGGAAAATGCACTTGATCGAGATTCCCTACCACCAAGGTGGGGCGAGCCCTCCGGGCAGGGCGCGGTGGGCATCTCTCTTTGCGGGAAGAAAGGAGAGGGCAGGTAGGCTTTTGGCCATCGGCCCACCTGGCTTATTTACCAAGCACACTTGCTTCCAATTAGAAGTCTTAAGGAAACGGGGCCTTTCTGCAGGCCAGAGATGGCTTTTCTATGTCCTGCCAACTGCTGCAATTTCTCCCAGAGGGGGATCGCTCTGAAAAACATTAAATCCTGCCACAGAATCCACAGTTCCTCTCTCCATCCACATATCGACGTGGAATATCAAGTCTGCAGACTTCTGGGTACTGCCTCTTGGCTTTGGGTCAAGATAGTATCCAGAGTCTTGGTAACTGTTTTGTCGTCGTTGTTGACAACGTGTTCTTATTTAAAAGTCCTCGGGCCCCGCGCCCTAAACTCGAGTGGATTAGAATCGATCTCAGTTTCACTCAGCACTAATCACATGGGCCAATACAATAACTTCAGTATCACTGGCTTCTCTCCCTCTTGAGACCTCCCAAAGTTTTACTTTGCTTTGCTCTGTATCTTCCTCAGCTACCAAATGTGGGGAAAAATACAATTCATTGATGTCTACTGCAGTTGAAAGGTACTATGGGTCTCTTCAAATCAACATCACACAAAATGCTGACAACAGCCCCCGAGGAGGCCTCTGGGCTCAGCCTCTGTGGGTCAGTTTCCTCACTTGTGAAATAGGAGGGGGCTGAATTACAAGCTCTTAAGGTTCTTCCAGCTCTAAATTCTTATGATTCTGTGACTTTTATAAAGTAACAGATGATTTCTGTTAGATGCCAATTAAATTTCCCTGACATGGCAGTTACTGGTGTAGAAACAGATCAAGAGTAAACGCAGCTTTTAACATCTTATATGTTGTTAAAATGAGGGATTGAGCCACCATTAAGGAAGCAGAAAGCCCAAAGAAAAGTCTGAAATTTCTTCCACTTAGGCAAACATCTCTGACTCCCAGAGTCACTGCTAACATACTTGGTGAAATGAGAAAGACACTTCAATTTGATAGCAAGGCATCTGGCAAATACAAAGCTTTCTGTATTTTCACATTTGCATGTGGACCAAGGACAGCTATCTGTACACTTTCCATTTTCACTAGAAGAACCAATCCTTGTGCATTCCACTTGGTATTCCCTACCGATATATCCCAGTCACCTCCAGCTCCAGCTTTTCTAGAGAGGGACAAGTGGTTACAAGTCCTCCCTGCCTTCTCTCCTTAAAGGGATCAGCAACATGCACCACAATACTAACACTTTTAAGTGGTGGGAACCGATCTATTCCTTCCACAAGAAGTTGTACAGCTCTTAAGGAGTCTATGAAATGAAAACAAAACAGATGTTTCTCATATAGAAAATAGCAAGTAAAATCAGTTTCCAAAATCATGCTCCGGACATCACTGGAATGTTTAGGTTGAATCACCAGAAAGCCAACAAGCATTAACATGAGCCTTGGCTTTTCAAGCAATCAAACCCCTGTGGGCACAAGATAAAGCCAAATAAAAAGCACAAAGCGTTTTTTTACACAAACTTCTACTTCCCCTTCAGAAGTCTTGAGTCAAATGTTTCCTCCTCCAGGAAGGTTTCTATCTACCTATCTCTTCCAGGCAGATTTGTAAGTTTCATTTTCTAAATGCCTTTGAATTGGAATAGTAAGCATGCTGTTTTTTATTTTTATGTATGTCGTCATCCCCCCCACCCCCCACCACGCCCAGCAAACTGTTAGCTCTTTGAAACAAGGACCATGTCTTTTCATTTAGTATCCTAAGTTAGGCCGGGCACGTTCCAAGTGCTCAAGAAATGTTTGATACTTTTTAAAGCTAATGCTTATTGAGTGCTTACTGTGTAGCAGGCACTATATCAAACATTTTGCATGCATTATCTCATTGGATCCTCACGAAAAATCTGTTATCCTTACTGTGCGTGTGTGAGCAAAATGAAACCCAGAGCAATTAAAAAATTGCCCAAGGTCACATTGCCAGTGGCAGAGTTGGGATTTGAACTCAGTACTTTCTGCCTTCAAGTCTGTGCTTAATGACTATACTGCCTTCAAACTTGATAAGCAAGGAGTAGTTATTTTGCATAATATAGTTTCTGATTAATAACCACTGTTCCTAATTCTTTACTCACAAATATAAATGTGTGGAGTGGAGTTTATGGGCTCTGATGCTGCTGTTATTAACACCATTTTATTTTATTTTATTTTATTTATTTTTTTTGTGAGGAAGATCAGCCCTGAGCTAACATCCATGCCAAATCCTCCTGTTTTTGCCGAGGAAGACCGGCTCTGAGCTAACATCTATTGCTAATCTTCCTCCTTTTTTTTTTCCCTTTTTCCCCCCAAGGCCCCAGTAGATAGTTGTATGTCATAGTTGCACATCCTTCTAGTTGCTGTATGTGGGACGCCGCCTCAGCATGGCCGGACAAGTGGTGCATTGGTGCGCGCCCGGGATCTGAACCCGGGCCGCCGTAGCAGAGCGCGCGTACCCAACCACTAAGCCACGGGGCTGGCCCCTTAACACCATTTTATATTTATATATAACTTTATAATTTTTCAAAACACTTTCACATATATTATCTCACTTGCTTCTCAAAATAACCCAGTGAGGTAGGTGAACATATTATTTTCATTTTATAGATGAAGAGACTTAGGTGCAGAATGGTAAACTGACTTGCCACCCTACGAAGTGGCAAGGCTCAAGTTAGACCCTGGGGCTCCTGATTCACGTTCCAGGGTAATTTCCACTACGTCATGCTGTTAGGGTTGGGATTTAAGGAGTTTTTAATTATGCTTCTTATGTGAGTTTCAAGAGTGAAGTTTAGGTTACTAGATGTCAATATAAGACTCATTTACCAAATCAGAGTCTCACCTTTATAAATTCTCACAGGAATTTATAAAGCTCCCAGTTTGGGAGGGCTGTGGTGGGATTTCTTGATGGTTTCTTCTGCCACTGAGGTATATGATCCTGCTTTTTGGTCCCTGTATCTCCCATTACTTTAGGCCTCAATCTGGATACCATTAGGGGATAGGATGCAGGACTCGCCCACGTCTGTTCCCTGGTTTCTCCAGCCTTAAATTGAAAATATCATGTTACTTGTAAGATACTTTGGGAATACTCAAGTGAATGTCATTAAGATATGTGATGTGTGGGCTGCTACCCTTGATCAAGGACATTTTCTTCCTATCCAGAAAAATGCATCTTCAGGAAGAACGATTGAGATTCACACATGAAACATCTTCCTATCAAGCTCCAGAACTGAAAGAGAACTTAGAAGTCTCCATCCACTCATCTACTTAAAAAATCATAACAGAGAAAATGAAACTCTATTCTGAAATGAAGGTTATTTTGTTTAGAACCACACTTCATTTCTGCATTAGGGACATATGAAGCGGGGACAGAGCAGCAAGGAGGACAAAAGGAGAACTGAAGTGATGGGAAGAGACGTGGAGGGAAAGATAGAGCACAGGAAGAAGATCCATCAGAAGAGGCAGAGATAGATACAGTTATGGGGAAGAAAACGGCCAGGACACACCCTTAGACACAGGAAAACAGACATAGAGATACAGCTCCAGAGACTGGAATTCACAAGTGAACAAGAGGAAAAGATGTAGAGAAAGGTAAAGTGAGGCGTACAAAGAGGAAGAAAGTGACAGCCCTTCATGGAACATTGGTCCCTTTAGGCTAGCACCAACAAAAGCCATATTGTGTTTGAAGATATAT